CTATGTATGAACCTACAACAATCACCGGCATATGATTCAGATCTGCTGATGTCACACGCTGTAGCTACTTATAAGGTAACATATGGACCTACAACAATCACCGGCATATGATTCAGATCTGCTGATGTCACACGCTGTAGCTATTTATAAGGCTATGTATGGATCAAATAGGGCGAAAACTATGTGCAAGCGCTTACATAAGTGCAGTGTGTCATGACAGCCCACATCCACATATATACATGTAACCGCGTGTAACATACCTAGACTTGGGTATACATACTTGTTTGCATATGAACATACATACACATACTTAGTACAAATACTTGTTTGCAAATGTACATACATACACATACTAAGTACACATACTTGTTTGCATATGTACATACATACACATACTCAGTACACATACCCCCGTATCTCCATAGATACATACACACATACTTAGTTCACATACCCCCGTATCTACATCGATACATACATAGTCAGATGTTCCAAGCACTTACCAGCGAGTAGTGTGTGCCGTCAAAGACTGTAGACATCAGTATTGAACTGCAGAAGCGGAATTCATTGAGCTCGTCCAGTAGTAGCTCTTGGTTGACGCGGTGTGACAACGCCTTCATAGCCCCCACTGCAGCCAAGATGAACTCATCACGTTGGCGGATCTGTGAAGTGGGTATATAGGTTGAGGTAATTGGTATATTCAGATTCATTACGCGTGGTCTATTTAGATTTATTACATGTAAAATTGGTCTAATCAGATTAATAAAAGTGCATAATTGGCCTATTCAGAGTAAATTACATGTAGAATTGGTTTAATTAGATTAAATACATGTATTCTTGGCCTATTCAGATTAATTACATGTATAATTGGTCTATTCAGGTTAACTACATGTGTACTTGGTCTATTCAGATCAATTACATATGTAATTGTTCTATTCATTTTAATTGCATATGTATTTGAATCTCTTTGCCGGATCTGTGGAGTGAGTTTATTTCACAATGGTTACGTAAGCTTAGACTTATCGCGAGTTGACTTTACTTGCAAAGTTAAAGACACCCGTACGTAGCTACGCCTGTCACAGACATACAGAAACTGTGACAAAACAGATAAAACAATGGTTAGAAGATGGTTGTATAGAAGTTAATAGGTTGGGTACGGTTCGGTGCGGATGTGTAGCATGTCTTAGGGTTTTAGTGTTTAGGGGTTATATATTGGGGAAGTAGGTTCTCCGTGGTTGGGGTTTTAGATTTTAGGGTTTAGGGTTTATTGTGAAATGGCCGGGACTGAACTCAAGTGTGTGATGTGTGATTGGTATGTCCATTGGGAAAGTAGTGTCAGTTGTTCAATACTGTACAGGACGGGCGGTTGGCAAACATTGAGTCGCAGCACGACGTATGTGAGGTTGAACAAGCCCATCAGAACACCAGAGCATGCTCTAATATGTGAAACAAGGCTTGCCGGGCTATGCTAATACCCACACAGCAATGGGAAGGATTAATAATACATTAATAGTACATTAATGATACATAAATAATACATTAATGGTACATTTATAATACATTTATAGTACATTGATAATACATTAATAGTTCACTGATAGTACATTAATGATACATTAATAATACATTAATATTACATTAAGAATACATTAATAATGTACTAAGAATACCTTAATAATACATAATACATCAATAATACATTAAGAATACATTAATAATACACCAATAATACATTTATTACATTGATAATACATTAATAACACATTAATAATACATCGACGACTAACCCCTACCTGAGCCGTTAAGCGTCCCTGTGACTCCAGTTGCTGAGCGATGTCTGTGCGTGTGGTTGGGTTGGCATCGTGCTCGCCCATGGCGTCTACCGTCACGTGGATGATGTCTTGTAGCGCCGCATGGTAGAGCAGCTCCACGGAATTCTCTCGCAATCTATTGGCAGATATTAATATTCGTGAGTGAGGGGATTGCAAGGTCTGACAAGTTCTAGCACGCGTGGTGTGATGACTGGACAAAAATCTCTTGCAGACTATTCGTAGCTAAAAATAGAACCATGCCAAGATAAGGCGAGAGCAGCGGCGCCTGATACGGTAATACTAAACGATACCAAACCAGAGTCCTCTCAATCCTTTAATGAGTCGATAGTGTACTAATAAATGTCTAATCGTGTATTCATTCAAAAGACGTCGCCTAGCAACAGAAAAGTGATAAATGATTGAACTATAACTGTTTAATCATTTGTTCACATGATTAGCAACTAGTCAGTGTTGCGTGACTGACTTGTGAATGCATAATCATTTTTTCACATGATTAGCAACTGGTGAGTGTTGCATGACTGACTTGTGAATATCCAGTCATGGTTTCATACGATGTGTTCTAGCAACATAAAATTGTTACAAGACTGAATCCCTAAGAACCACGTAGTGTCGTTTCTCAGTACAAGTGAATTCACTGTCCGTTGATGATCAGAGACTGTTGCAAGTGAAAGACTTGAGAAGTGAAGCAGCATGCCAACTGCCTGTTATGCTGCGTGATGTAGCTATTCCAAAAATAAACCACTGCTGTCGAATTAATTTAGTAATGGGGTGGAATGTGCCCATTTATACTATACAACATAGTGAGCTATCACCACAAGGAAGTGTTCTGCCACTTACACCTAATTTAGTAGCAGGGTAGAATGCACCAATTTATACTATACAACATCGTAAGATATAACCACAAAAAAATATTCTACCACATACACCTTACCCAATCCTTCCTGTTCACAACTAATGCTCAAATAACTTCTATCGCACGGATGCCATGAGTTTCATAAAACAGTACACCCCGAACGTAACCTAAACCCCTACCCCTACACCACCCACCTGACAACACCCCAGAAGTTCTCAGCTGCGTGTCTGTGGCTCGTTGGTTCTGAACTGTCCACAAAGCAGTACAATGGATATTCTTCCTGTGACGTGTCCATGGCGCCCCATTGCTCTCCCCGCAGTCTCTGGTATGCCTCGTTCAGTAGCCCAGTGCTGGCGCTGTTCCGTTTGCTGAGGATATTCGACAGCGCACCCTCCGAGCCATTCTCTGCGGTCCTATTGGCCGAGAGATTTCCCATCGGGCCCATTTCATTGGTGTAGGTATCAGCTTGGGGTGTCTCGGGCCGTGCCAGCACCAGATCGTAGCCCTGATATTGGATAAAATCAATTGAATGCTTTGTACGTGATTAAATCTATAAATAGAAGACTGTGAGAAATAAAGCATAGCTTAAATCTATGAATAGAAGGCTGT